TCCGTGAGGACGTCGCACCTTCCAGCAGAGGGCAGCACTCACGGCACTTACCGGGCATTTGGCAGGTCCAGCGGGAGGCAAAACCGTTCACACCCATCTCTGCTTGCTGGCGCTTAAAGTTTTTATCTCAATTGTCTTAGTCTGTTTAGTGTTGCTATTAAGAAACACCCGAGGCTGGGTAATTTATGAAGAAAAGAGGTCTGTTTGGTTCTGCAGGCTGCTCAAGAAGCTGGTGGCAGCATCTGTGTCCGGTGAGGGCTTCAGGCCATGCCCGCTCGTGGTGGGGGGTGAAGGGGAGCTGGCGCTGGCAGAGATCACACGGTGCGAGGGAGTGAAGAGAGGGAGCAGCGGTGCCAGGCTTTTTTTTTATAAAACAAACAGGTCTTGCAGGAGTTAATGCAGTGGGAACTCACTCACCCCCGCAGGGCATTAATCTACTCGTGAGGGATCTGCCTCCATGACCCAAACACCTCTCATTAGGGCCCACCTCCAATATTGGGGATCAAATGTCAACATGAGGTTTGGAAGAGTCAAACATTCAAACTATAGCGTTTCACCCCAGCCCCCCAAAACTCATGTCTTTCTCACATGCAAAATACCATCATTCCCTCCCAACAGCCCCCCACTTCCTGCCGCCACCGAGTATTCACTTGTCCCAGCACCAGCTTAAAATGCCAAAGTCCAAAGTGTCATCTGAGACTCCAGGTAAGTTCCCTACAGTTTTAGCCATAGATCGAAAACAAGTTATTTACTTGTAAGATACAGGGGTCGTACAGGCCTTGGATAATGTTCTCATTACAAAAGGGAGAAATCAGCCAAAAGAAAGGGGTAACAGGCCCCGCCAACACAGCAGGGAAGACAGTCAACCTTAAAGCTCCAAAATCGACTCCCTGACTCTAAGTCCCTTGTGCAAGGGGTGGGCCCCCAAGGCCTCAGGCAGCCCCACCCCCACAGCTTTGCTGGGTGCAGGTGATGTTGCTGCCCTCACAGGTTGGCATTGAATGCCAGTGGCTTTTCCAGGCTGAAGCTGCACACTGCTGGCGGCTCAACCACCCTGGGATCTGGAACTTGGCAGCTCTGCTCCCAGGCTTCCCTAGGCACTGCCTTAGTAGAGGCTCCTTCCCACGGCTCCACCCCTGCAGCAGGCTTCGCCCTGGGCACCCAGGCTTTCTAAAACACCCTCTGAAAACCAGCTGGAAGCCACCAAACCTCCGTGACTCTTGCGTTCTAGGTGCCTGCAGACTTAACACCACATGGAAGCCTCCAAGGCTTACTGCCCGCACCCTCCAGAGCAGCGGCCTGAGCTGTACGTGGGAACATTTGAGCCATGACTTGTCTGGTTCAAAGGGCTGGGAAGTGGGGAGCAGTGTGCCCCAGTGGAGCAAGGCAATGGCACCTGAGGCTGTCTCTGTCCTGGGCCTCCGGGCCTGTGACAGAGTGCCACGCACATCTCTGGAATGTCCTCAGGGCCTTTTCCCCATTGTCTTTACCATTAGCAGCTGGAGCCCTTCAGTCGGGCCAGTCTTCTTAGCAAGGGCCCTTCTGCAGCAGCCTTGAATTTCCCCTCCTGAAACCATTCTTTGCTCCTCTACCACATGGCCAGACGACAAATTTTCCAAATATTTACACTCTGCTTTCCCCCTCTTTTTTTTTTTTTTATACATTTAGGGGGTGCAAGTGCAGTTTTGTTCCATGGATATATTGCAGAGTGGTGAAGTCTGGGCTTCACTTGAAATTGTTACATCTTGTTGAATTGATCCCATTATCATTATGTAATGACCTACTTTACCTTTTTTTTATGGTTGTGGATTTAAATCCTGTTTTATCTGATATAATTATAGCTACTCCTGCTTGCTTTTGGTTTCAGTTTGTGAGAAATATCTTTTCCTACTCTTTTACTTTGTAAATGTTTTTACTTCTTAGGTGGTTTCTTATAGGCAGCATATGATTGGATTTTGTTTTTTTATCCATTCTGTCAGTCTATACCTTTCAAATGGAGCATTTATTCCACTTACATTCAAGGTTAGTATTGATATGTGAGGGGTTTTCCTACTATGTTGATTGTTACCTAGTTGCTTTGTACACTCAATTGTGAAATTGCTTTATAGGATCT